TGTGTGTGTGTGTGTGTGTGTGTGTGTGTGTGTGTGTGCCTCTGTGTGTGTGTGTGTAGGTGAGTGTGTGCGTACGTGCGTGGGTGCGTGCGTGTGTGTGCGTGCGTGGGTGCGTGCACGCGTCCGTGTGCGCACTTGAACCTGTGTTTACGTCTGAGCGTGCGTGCGTGCGTGCGTGTGTGCGTGTGTGGGTGCATGTGTGCGTACGTGCGTGGGTGCCTGGGTGCGTGCGTGGGTGCGTGCGTGTGTGTGCGTACGTGGGTGCGTGCACGCGTCCGTGTGCGCACTTGAACCTGTGTTTACGTCTGAGCGTGCGTGTGGGCGTGCGTGTGTGCGTGCGTGTTCGTGTGTGCACGTGCACACGTCTATGCGTGTATTCGATGATAGATATGGATTTTACATTACACTTCTTACAGTGTTGTAGCTACGATAAAATACCCATAAATCCAATTATATGGTAGCATTCAAAAATTTAAAATAAAATTATATTGAACTAAGAACGTGCCATTGAAGTATTGGTTTTATTCGAGACAACAACGCCGTTCTGTCGTGATAATTAACACGCACCCGTATAAGGGAATGGATGCATTCCAGTGCGGATACACGCGTGCGATGGAGTCGCGCATCTGAGCTTGCTTAGCCAGGTGGAAGTACGAATCGTGAGCCAGTTTCAGAGCTAACATGTCCGTAGGGTGGTTAGTAAGGATATCTTCTCATACAAGCGTCGCCTCGTCCATGTATCTGTAACATGTCCGTAGGGTGGTTAGTAAGGATATCTTCCCATACAAGCGTCGCCTCGTCCATGTATCTGTAACATCGCTCACGCGATAACGTTAAAGTGACCATCGCGCATTTTTTGCAATCTCTCCCTTTTTAAAGAAATTAATATAAACCGTGAAACCCCGGTTACATCTTGTTGTGTACAGTATTTTTTACACGTAAAAAAAACTATGAAAATACAGTTGTACAATTTTATGGGCAATACAATTGCGTTATGATAATCTTTTTGTTATCAGTGTGATAACCGGTAGCAATAAATAGTAAAATATCAGCTTTATTAAAACATTCTTCTGTTGTTTATATCGCGTATACACACAAGCCATAGATTCATAAATATATCTAATAATAATAATAATAATAAGAAGAAGAAGTAGAATCTCACGCAGGGTCTCAAAGCCTACTCACCCGTCAGAAAACAACTTCATGGCTTCGGCGTGTTGCTTTTCTCGCGTTGTAATATCGCGTCACGTAGTTGCCAACCTCACCATTTCATCTACGTCGCGTTGCAGCTGTTTGTCCAGTCTGGGCGATGCAGCCGTCCCCATGAGTGTCAATCCGCTCACGAGCACTCTTCCCATCACTACATACAAGTATGCGTACACGTATACATAAGCGCTATGTGACGTGTGTAGCGGAGGCCTGGACCGCCTCTGCCGCACGCAGATGCACGACCACTACCCCGCGTGTGTAGCGGAGGCCTCGACCGCACCTCTGCCGCACACAGATGCACGATCACTACCCCGCGTGTGTAGCGGAGGCCTGGACCGCCTCAGTCGCACACAGATGCACGATCACTACCCCGCGTGTGTAGCGGAGGCCTGGACCGCCTCAGTCGCACACAGATGCACGATCACTACCCCGCGTGTGTAGCGGAGGCCTGGACCGCCTCAGTCGCACACAGATGCACGATCACTAC